AGTCATGGCTGTAGCTTTCATCCGTTAGCTTTTCATCAGGTTCAAAAAAGTTTCATTTAAACTTGACTAACTTAAATTTAGCATCATTATTTGTATATATTTGTTTTATATTTATTATATATTTAACGGCGGTGTCGAAAGCTCCCACTCTTAAAGTTACACCAGAATATCGCGGTCACATGTTATGTAAATTTTCATGTATTCGCCCACTGATAGCGGCAACCTGTTTGGAGTTGAATACGCCTTGGTTTAAACCAACTCAGAGACTCAATCTTGCGTCCTATACACAGGTGTTTAAATACAATAGAGTTGCGGCCTATCTAAACGGTCGCTCTAGGCGACTAAGTGCAAAGGGGCGGAGCAATATTACAATATAACTCTATGCAAGATTTCTACCTGTCTTCAACTACCGCAGTGTCACCGTAAAGTAAGAAAGACTTTTCTCTTCTTTACACCGTACACTTTCGCCGCCTAAATCCGGTATCGTTATTTGCAATGTAAAACTTGACTGAATCGTTCCCCCTTTAAATATCGCAGCTCGTCTTGATACACGTGCTCTGGTATTTCATACTGACATTATTAATGAAATTATTTTTGCATCTCACATCTCTTCACCTAACCGAAGCAGCATTTTATGTGTTTACTACGATATTTCCTGTTTAATGCCGGTATATTGATAGCAACTGATATATGCCAGTCGATGAATCATTCTCCTTATTTATATTCATACATCCTCAATTCAGAACAGCAGTGATTAGCAAAGCCAGGCACTGCCTATGAACAGAAACGATGATTCCTAACTGAAACTGCGACATTCCCTTCATTTTGTTTGTAAATCTACCGTGTCTGTCAAACGTGCCAACGTGGCATTGGAAGTTTTAGAGGGGTTAGACGTCTGTCGCAAAAATTTAACAAGGAGGTATAATTGAATGATTGACTTAGCGTTCCCGTTAAATTACTATTTCCAGAAACTACTTAGTTCACTAAATTTTCGTTTAAGCGTCTAGTCCTTCTAATTGCTGACACACAAATGTGTCAAATTCCGTAACTTAGTCGCTAACCTCTGGTTAATACTCTCGGCGAACGTATTTGCTTATATACTTTTAAAGCCGGAAAACGCAAATGAGAACGAACCTTAATTTGATCTCCCATTCATTTAGCTAAACCCGTGACAATAACCTCATTATTTGCAGCGTTTTGTTCAGTAATTACGATCATCCTTTCATTTTATTATGCATTTTATCTCAATTAGTTCATTAAACCTTTGATCTTGAAAAGACTTTATTGGCGCCTGAACTGTTTGGAAGCAGGATTCAATATCGAAAAGTCAGAATTGAAGAAAACTTCTAAGCTCTGCGCCAGAAACTCGCATTTCTGTAGATAGTACTGTCTTTGTAGCAAGTACTTCGGGTACTGACGGTTAAACGACAGCGGCGATGTTAGACAGAGTGAAACAAAACTTGCAAATGGTTAGTCAACCCTTAGGCAGCAGAATTTATCCAGATCTTTACAAGACTACGAAAAGTGCTATGTGAACATTTTGCAACTACAGTGAGAAGAAGTTGAGCGACAGACATGCAGATCAGGCGATTCTATGTTCCTGTAGCTGTTTCAATCCATTCCCCCCTGTAATCGATCTGTGCACTGATCTATGGAATAATTCATTTCTAAAAGGTATTTTTTCAAATCAGAATTTTGCTTGCCTAATGGATCAGAAGCGTTGGGAATGTTTAGATTCAGACTTACTATCTATAGCAGATGAGTAGCCTCGCCTGAATGCGAACTTAAACAGTTTCCTGTTTTTCGACATCATTTGGAAACTTTGGCCAGTTGGAAGAAATAGACTTATTTCGAGACACGAGACCGATCTAAACAAGGAAATCTGCCGCATATGCATTTTCTGAGAATAGAAGTGCGTTTCCCCTTAACTATATGTAAAGTGTAAGACGTTTATAGAATTAAAGTTCAGACAAAAATTCGAACAATTTATGGCTAAACTAAGTTCAAATTTCTAATCTACTCTGGCATGCAAGTTGACAAAAGTCAGTGGAGTAGCGGAATTCATATGGCCATCACCGCATGCGATCAGAATAGTACATCGCAGTTTTAAGGTCATTTTTTTTCTTTCATGTCATTATCAGTCATGTCATCATTAGTAATGTGTTGAGATTATCACCTTAAGCCGTTGGCATAAGCATAAATTGTGCGACATCCGCTGTATCCGTAACCTTACACTACTTTTACCACAAGGCACCACTGTGTCGCGGAACGAACAGTTCTTCGTTGATGTAGGGTCTGTCTTTATCTTGCTTGTTAATGTTGTTTGCTGACTTTCTTGACAACGTCTGCCACACGAGAAGCTCATTGCCTGGAATAAGCGGTTTATGCGCTACCAGTTTGTTTAAAATATCCATCCTCCGTTTTTCAATATCCTACACCTGCGCTCGGAATAATGTAGTCGTTACTTATGTGTTCTGCCGTGTAACCCCCATTAGGCTTCGAAACCAACGCTGGTATACGCAGCATCGTCGACTTCATTTTCCGGAAGGCAATCAGTGGAGCAAGGCCTTTCTTCATCAACAGCATTCATCAACGAAATGCGTTACTGTCAACA